ACAAACATTACAATAGTTCAGTCTAACATTGGAAAGCTTTATTCAAAGATAAGTTCCAGTGAAAAGTCAAAGTAGAACATAAAGCTTTTTAAAAAAAAAACAAATGACTAGTTTGCACAAGTGATCCAATTTTCATCCAATTTCAGCATTAAACTACTCAAGCATTTAAAAGTGATTAAAAGATCTCAAGCATTTAGAATTTTGACTGCAAATTTTTATTACTATCTATTTCAATCTATCAAATCTTTTCAAAAGAAAAATCTTCAAATCTTTCTTTGTTCTTAGAAAGTTTTAGATCCAAAATACATCTCAAAATAGCTTCATTGTTGAAAAATAGACAGTGATTTTAATTCTTTTTTTTTTGAGTATTTATAGACAATGACTTGAAAGAGTTTACTAAAAATTTACTAAAAATTACATTCAAAACTTTCTTTTTACTTTTTAGAAGATCAATTTTTCAATAATATTTATTCAATAATTATTTAATAATTGTACATTGTATTTATTCAATAATTGTACCTTGGCTTTGTTTCAAATGAATGCAGTTTTCTTGTGTTCAGTTTTTTTTAATCATTCAATAATTATTCAATAATTGTACCTTGACTTTGTTTCAAATGAATGTAGTTTTCTTTTGTGTTCAATCTTTTTTAATCATTTCAACTTGTCTAACGAATTTTTCATTCAAAAATTGTATTTTTTTTTGATTCTTTTGAGCACGTGTGGCTGACTGGTTAAGTGTCTTTTATCTTAATCGGAAGGTCGAGGGTTCGAACCCCACATGCGACATGGTCACCCCCTTCGGATTTCCTTTCCCTTCGGGTTTGAGAGGTTTTCTGGAGGGCAGTCTGGTGGTTGTGGCCCCAGTTCTTTAAAGTGACAAGCCACTCCTTCATCGTCATCTTCCCTTCACCACCAAAAAAAAGCTATTTAGTTCCCCATTGAGCTTAGGGTTAGGGAGCCGTCTGTCATGACGTGGGTTAAGTTAAGATATAGCCTAGTATTGTGTGTGTCGTTGTATTGTGATTGATATATTTCGTGTATGCGATAAATTCACCACTGGTAGCCCCAGTCGGTATTTTTTTTTTTTATTCTAGGTTCTCATACACGAATCAATCTTTTTTTACCCAAAAATAGTGTTAATTTCCGGAAAAATGTTTGAATTTTTTTTGGCGTTTTGGGATCACGAGGGGGTGTGATTTGCGTAGAATTTGAAAAAAGAAAGCTATTATGAATTAAAAGTTTGATGACGGTGATGTATGCTAAAACTAAAAAAATGGTAAGCGAAATGTTTGTGAAGTTGGTGTGTTCAAGGTCATTTTGGTCATTTTGTCTCGAAGTTGTTGCCATCTCTCTAATAAGTCTAGCCTACTATTATAGCTGTAAGCCGTAAGAGTTAACTCCCTCTAGAGCGAAGGAGGCCGAATGCGTTGTGGTGTAATGGTTAACACAATTGCCCGGTAAGCCCGGTTCGAGTCCGGCCGGGCCCAATTTTTTGGTCTGTCCTCGCTACACTTGAGTGTGTTGAAACAAAAGCATTCAGCCAGCTGGTACGAGTGTTTTTTTTACGTTTATTCACAAAAGTATTGTGCATCTTACACTCACAAAAGTATTGTTCATCTTTTAAATGGCGTTTACGATATTAAGCCTACTATGATAGCCTGTAAGCCGTAAGAGATACGATATCGCTAAGTAGACATGAGCTTTTTGTAGAAGCTTTTTGTAGAGCTTTCAACGAGTCAGTTCCACGTTTTAGCAAACAGCTCTCGTTTTTTAAAGCTTGGATATGTGGACAATGCTATTTCGAGCTTTAGAAAACAAAAGTTTGCTGACAAAAAGTGGGACTGACTCGTTTTCTACAAAAGATCCAAGGCTTTTGCAATTAAAACCAGCAAGAATAAACACTCTCGTGCTAGATTTTTCCACTAATAATCACACAGTAATGGTTATCGTAGCTTTACGGGAAACCGTAATAAGTCAAATATATGAAGAGTATCAACTAATCTCCTTAGTGAAGAGTATCAACTAATCTCCTTACTATTAACCCCTGGTATCGTTATGTAATGTAAAATTTTGCCAAACCACCTCAAAACTGTCTCAAAAATGTCTCCAAATTTCCCAATTCCCTAGCCGTGTCGTCGCTTTTTCTAGAAAGCTCTTAAATCAATTTCACAATATTATTTCCTAGAAGTAGAAAATAAATTCTTCAATGCTTGAAACTATAATCCCAGAAAAAAAGAAATCCAAAAATCTTTTGTAATAATCTGAAATTTTCCGTATCAATGACCCGGAGTGAAAGTGCTAAACAATGACAATTCCGTTTATCATCCATACTTTTCCTTGTACTTTATGAAAAGAATACAAAATTTCTCAAGTTTTCAATTGAATACAAATATTTTATCAAATCAACAAATACTATCGCCAAAAACAAAGCAATTGAGCTGGAAAAATGAGGATATTTGGGAGAAGATTATGGATTTTTATTTCAACAGACAAAAAATTTCAAATTTTTCACCTAAAAGTTATTTTCTTTTGAGAAATTAGCTGAATTTTCGGTTATGAATTGGATAATTTTGTAATTTACATTGATTTCACATTTAAAAATATCAGCAAACAAGTCTACTTGATGTTTTGTGCTGCAAAAAACCTCGTAGTCTCGTTCTGTTCAAGTCAAACCTTGCGAAAGAGCTTGGTGTTTAAAAATACCAGCAGACAAGTCTACTTGATGTTGTGAAACACACCCAAGCTCATTGCTGATATAGCCTTTCTTAAAATTACGAAATGAGCACTCCAGGAAGGATGCGTTTAGATTTTTCTGCAAGTACACCTGATTCATTTTCTTCAATTGTGATATCTTAAAGTTTCCGAAATTCTTACCCCAATGAACCCTTTAATTTGTAAACTTTTCCTAATCACTGAATGTTGAAAATGTTCCTTTTCAATCTCTTCGCTCAAATTACGTCAAACACAGGTCAATTTGATAGAGAAAAGATCAGAAAAGATCAGACAAAATCTCATCAAAATACTAAATTCATTAAAAATCTTCTTTTTTTTGAGCGGATTAAAGAAATGTCAAAGTCTGAGATTCGGGAAATCGTTGAAATTGAATAGCGAGTTTTAGTTTTATTTCCTTGTAGTTTTAGATATTGTAGTTAGATCATAATGTCCAATTCCCATTCAAAACTCAACTTTCAGCCCATTTACCGTATTCTCTCTAATAATAGTGCACTCTCTAATAGTATTGCGGTCCAGGAGGGGGTTCAAAAAATAGTAGTGCGCAATACTATTAGAGAGAATATGGACTGAGCTGGCTAAAGTCTTGTTGCTGGGAATCTCAAAAGTTTCGCAGACCATTTCACAATACTTCAATGAAATATTTCACAGATTTTTTTCCATTCTCATTCTACATTCTTTGAAAAAGAAACACTGTTCTTAATATCTTTTCTTTCATCATTTCTCTTGCGTGAGAATGAGCACAATTCTTTTTTTCTTTCCTTCTTCAGACTCCAAAATCGACGAAAAATTTGTGAAAAACTTTGCGGCTCCCTTTTTTTAGGCTCGGGCAATTATAGCTGAATTGTGATTTTTGTCCGTCAGAAGAGAAGAAAAACATGTATTCTGAACGAAAGAATTTACGTAAAAGAAAATTGGATTGGACTTATTGAAGGAAAAAGTCGATTCGACGTCAATTCTCACGTTTTTGAGTAGGCAAGATTAAATTCATATTAGAAAGATCTTAAAACATTGATGGAAACAATGTTTTAAATTTAAAGTGATCTACATAATTTAGAGCTTCCGTATGCAGAACTAGTTTTCGAAAGCATTGTCTTTATTCTAAAACTAAAACTAAACTGTTTCTGAATTATCAAATCTTTTTTGAATAGCAAATTATCTGGTACAAGGCACAATGAACGGTTTGCATAAAGATCAACTATAATATCCATTGATTAATCATCTATTGACAAGTTAAATGCTTGAATCGTCCGAGGATTGTTTTCGGCAAAGAGACTGTGTCGAACGATGAGTGCTGCTTGACACCTTTCTCGATTTGTGCGAATTTCTTCTTATGGATTGAGGCCTAAAAGTTTTATACGTGAAAGAATTTGAATTGAATATTTAGTTTATTCAGCTCTAATCGGAGTCCTTCGATTTCTATTCATTTACCTTGTCAAGTTGTGGAGCGAATGCGTGTCGCCTCAATTCTTGAGCAAAAACCTTGATAATAAGCAATAATACCTTATTATCAGCAAAAAATCTTGATAATAAGCAAAATACCAATTTTAGGTCGATACTTTTCAAAATTCTGTCTATTTTTGAAAGCAATATGTTCCCAGGAGGGATCTCTAGGAATCCCGGGATTCCTAGAGGTCTTTGAGCAATATTTTGGTCGTACCAGCGATCTGATCTTTTTTCTGATCCACTCTCAATCCTTTTGATGATTAATTATCTTCATCTATTCATAAAATAAATATTTTTCTCTCAATGAGGGTGGGAGGGTGGACTTCTTCTGGGAAAATCTCTTCTGAATGAGAAAATTGGGGCGTGGCTTGGATGTGGGGCGCAGAAACGATTCACATATTAAAGGACTCCCCATCAGTCGGATCGTTTAGAGTCTACAACCCTCATCCAACATTAGAAATATATTACCGATATTACCGATATTACCGTATATTTTAACTTATTCATTTGCTTTCTCTTTGATTTTTTTACTGTAACTTTTCCCACATTTATGATTTTGTTTGAAAAATTTTCAAGCTTTCTGTAGAATCTACGAATTTACTAGAGAATTTACCAGAGAATTGACTTTTTGAATTGAAATTTTCAACTTCCTAGAACTTAGCGATTGAGTTTAAGAGTTTAACGATTATTGCTATATTGCTGAGATTTATTGCTCCACTAAATTCTCTCCCAAAATCTTCCCATCTTTGTGCTTTCAAAAGAAAATTTCCAGAAAATCATCGAGAATGATCTTCGAGCTCTCATTGGACCATTTCGAATCGTCGATGACGATGCCATCGGTGAATTTAATCATGCCGAAGAAACAACAACAACCACAACAACAACAACAATTCAAGGCGATCTCGGCGATTCGGTAAAAGCTTCAATCTAGATCAAGATTCAAAAAATTGAAAACAAAAAAATTCCACAACAATTCAACAAACAATCGCTTCAGAATGCCGATGGCGCTCGCCATGCAAACGTTGCACATCTCTGAGAAACGAGAGAGCACCGATTCAGGTAGAGATTTTTGAAGATATAAAAGCATAAAATATATTCTGGTTACGGTAGATCAGGCAAGCAGGCAGGCAAGGCCAAAGCTAAGCCAAAGGGCAAGTCTGAAACGATTCTGGACAAGGCTGGGATAGTCTTCTAGGTCCTAAGCAGGGCTGGCAAAACAAATTTCCAAGCCAAGCCAAGGCAAAGCTAACGTCAAGGTTTTAAGTCAAACTAGGCCAAATTCAACGGTATGGTTGAAATTTCAGATCAAGGCTATTTAAAAGCAATTAGCTTTGGCTTGGGTAGCTGGCTGTTGACTTTTTCGTTAACTGTCAACGACTTTTGCCCTAGAGCCCGGTCAGAACATCTCTTGCATACAATAACAGAAAAGCAATCTTATTTTCCATCAACTATACTCTTGAATCTTTCCCTTTCATGATTATGAAAGGTGATTTTTGAGATAAAACTCGGCTTATCCCATAGAAAAAACACAAAAAAATTTGTGACGCTTTCACGGAAAATCTATGGTTTCTTCTTTTCTTTTATTCAAAAGTTCAATGGGATTTTCCGTGTTGACGTCGATTTCTACACAATGATCTAGGATTTCTAAAAAATATCTGAATAAAACCAGGAACAAGGGATTACGGTAAATGGATACGACTAGAAAAAAACGATAAAACAAAAGATATCTAGGGGGAAAGTTTAATAAAAAGATGACAATAGATCAAACGATTTATGAGTTATGATTTATGAGCTAATTCTCATTGATCAAAGTCTTCAGTTTCTCTTTGACCAATTGAAGATCACTTGTAGAAGTCTTTGATCAATTCCCATCGATCAAAATCTTCTACAAGTTTTATAGCAAAAAAGCAAAGTCTAATAGTTAGTACTTAAGTTCAAATTTGAGTCTAAATCTTGTTGCATATGTTTCACTAAAACTTTCAGGAAAGCTTTGGGTTTTGGTTTTGGGTTTTGGTTTTGGTTTTGGGAAGATTTTTCGGGGATATTCATAAGTTTCCAGTTAAGCCGATCTTCGGATATCCGTTCTTAAATCCGAAATAATTGAAAGTTCTCTCAAAAAAGCTAGCTGATCTAGAAAACCGTCATAAAATACACGTTTCGCAATAAATTACAGTTTTTTTTTATAAGAAAACAATAATATTAGTTTTTCTATTTTAACCTAGACTGGATAAATTATCAATATATTGGCATTTTGATGATAAATTTTCAAATTCTCATCTCAAAATCCATAAAACTGAAAGCTTTGAGAGAATATTACGAATATATATTAAATAATCTTTAGCCTAGACTCTTCTTTTTTCATCCATTAACCATTTAGAGCCTGATTTTTGGAGTTTTGAGTGGGCAAGAGAGAGCTCTTTCCCCTTACCACCTCCAACGCCTCAATGACCTCATTCATCTTTATGTTCCCCATAAAAGCTTTCTTACGTAAATACCTTAAAAATAGACTAATATATTAGTATTTTATAACAATTTTATAATATTTTATAACAAAATCTTTCAGCCACTTCATCAAGAAACGGCTCGATCTGTGACGAGAAAGCGCCGGAATTGAGGCGACACGCATCCGCTCCACAACTTGACAAGGTAAGTGGATAGAAATCGAAGGACTCCGATTAGAGCTGAATAAACTAAATATTCAATTCAAATTCTTTCACGTATAAAACTTTTAGGCCTCAATCCATAAGAAGAAATTCGCACAAATCGAGAAAGGTGTCAAGCAGCACTCATCGTTCGACACAGTCTCTTTGCCGAAAACAATCCTCGGACGATTCAAGCATTTAACTTGTCAATAGATGATTAATCAATGGATATTATTATAGTTGATCTTTATGCAAACAGTTCATTGTTTCATTGTTTCATTTTTTAATTAATCAAATGATTTATAATTTGATCTCAATCTAAACTAAGAAACTCAAAAATTTGACTTGTACTTTGTGCTAGAAAAACGTAAGCCTTCTAATGCACTCGATTCTTTACTTTTTCTGGTTAATAGAAACGCGAATCAGTGCGCCAGAAGACATGCGTTTGTACAAACAAAGTACAAGTCGAACTTTATCATTCTTTCAGTGAATATTTCGTTGATCCCTGTGCCGATGTGATTTTATCTATATGAATAGATATCTTTGAATATAGCCTGAAACTTTTAATGTGATTTTTTTTTATAACTCTTTGATATCAAATTTCTTTGAAATTCTTTCTTTCCACCTTTTTTTTGATCTGTCCACGTTGATTTTGATCCGCTATCCTCCCTCAATCAATTTCCGTTCTACCCGGATTTCCTATAGAGCTTCCTATAGAAATTGATGTACTTTTGTAGAACTAAACTCTAAAATTTTCTATTTCTCCAGGAAATTAGAAACAGTTTCCGTTTGTTTCCGAGTATTGCAGCCGTTTTTCTCTTTGCTCGATTCCGAGAATTTCTCCATTTTTCACTGGTATTGTAAATACGGGTTTAAAGATCGAATCTCTCGATACTTTTAAATTATTTACTTCTTTATTGTTGGTAAAAATGAAAATAAAACATTTGGTAAAGGTTTGGAAATGAAAAATAGTACAAAAATGTTTTGAATTAAACGTAATCCGTAATCTAAATATACAATAAATAATAAAGAAACTATCAGGATTTCTAAAAAGGGTTTTGCTAAATAAAGCTTTACAAAGCACAATAGATTTACATCGAAACGTTGAAATTTGCCTCGCCTTGCGGGATACGTATCAAAAATTAGCTCACTCAAATGGTCCATATGTCTCAAGTGAAGTAGCTAAAAGGTAAAGAATATTGTTTTTGTTAGTTGTGGGTTTCTTATTTTACCAACCGCTGATTTCCAATGAGAACACCAGATTTTTCAAGATCTGGTACAAAATTGAAAAATTTTCTTGAGTTTCAATAAGTTTAGGGGACTTTTTCAATCTTAAAATTCTGTTTTTGTTTTGTGTTTATTCGGTATCTAAGCACAGTCTTAAATAAAGTCTTTAAAAAAACTTTTCGCTGTTGTCGAGTTGGATTTTGAATTTGGCTTTTTCAAAAAAAAAGCGGCACTCGTTTTGAGTCTGAAGAAGTGCTAGAAAATTGAATTTCCTATTGAATGAAACTAAGTACAATCAGATTGGATGGGGTGATTGTGTGATCTACACAGTAGGCTCTAAAAGTTTGAAAACAGACTTTTTAGAAGAAAATGCGAGTGTGATAAGGCTTAAAAACTCCATCTTTGATAGCGATCTTCACTTTCGAAGCACAAATCGAATCGGTGTCGTTAGATAAAAGAAGATTTAGACAAAAATAAATAAAGATGAATTTATATTTTATTAAAAACGTCGGACGTCATTTATTTAACCAAAAACAATATGAAATAAATAAATGAAATAATGCTTTATATCTGCTTTATTCAGACGAACAAAATAAGCAAATCAAATGAAATAGAAATAGGGAGTCAAGAGTCAAATCCAAAATTTAGATCCAAAATTCAAAAGCCCAGCAGTCCAGCAGTCGATCCATAGATCCTCAAAATCTCCGTATCGGCGATCAGCGAGTCGACTTTATCGGTAAAATATTCGATCTCTTTATCCTTATAGAAATTTGTGTTGGGAGAAGTAAGGGAATTTTTTTTTGATGACAATCGGATGAATGAAATAAATGAAATTAAAGACGTTTTTGTAGCCGTTGAAAATTTTATCGAGTTTTTAGCTTCAAGCACTTCAACGAAATCGATTTGAAGTGGCAAGGGGTTGACTCGAATAAAACCATCGTGAATTGAGCGTGCGAAGACGACGAAATGAGTGAATCGAACGAAAAAAGTTAAGGAAAAAAAGGTTGGCTCAAATTAGTTTTGACGTCCCTTCGGTAAGGTCAAATATTGGAGCTCCCGGGGCAGCTGAGCCATTGAACGAATAGAATTAAAGGACGAATATGGAAAGGAGGTTGAGGTTTGGGACAAGTGAAATAGCAAGCAGATGAAATCGTAGTTAATGATTGACAATTGGAAAATATTTACTTGCTTTTGGATTAATTGGAGATCTGATCCTTGGCTGAATCGGCAGATGGGAATAGAACTGCTCATCAGATCGACTAGTAACAAAAAAGCCAGGAAACTGCATCAATCAAGCAGCTAAGCCAATTGGTTAGCAGTCACTTTTTCCTACAAGCCCTTGGTATCTTTTTGATAACCCAAGTTGATAATAAAATAATTTCCCAGATAACAGAGGATGTGATGTTTTAGAGATAAAACTTTACATTCATAAGAGTCCCTCAACATTTGTTCAGCTTTTAAAATCTCAATTTCCCTCAATTTCTTTGCCATTAAAACTCTTTGTATCAGAATAGCTGAAAGAAATCCTCCATTTTTGAGCTAAAGAGATTTCGTTTATGAAAGTGAGTGAAAAGAGATTAGGGGAAATGTCAATATCGGATTATCTTTTGCCTACAAAGCCCATTCTAAAATTTTTTTAATCTAAAAAAAATGAGCACATAGAGTACATGTTTACTTGGAAGATTTTTGTACGAATACTTTAGCTGATTTCAAGCGGAAATTGCGGAACGAAGAAAGAGAAGAATTCACGGATGGATTGGCAATGATTTGAGATTTGAGTTTTGAGTTGAGTGATCTGGCTTTAGAAATGTTAAGAACTATAGTTGATGTTGTGCAATTGGGTGCAAATTGGTGCAAAGATAGTTGATGAGCAATTGGGTGCAAATTGTTATACAATTGGCTTGGTCTAAAGAGTTGGTTTCCTTCTTGGGTACTTTTTTGGCACGGCGTCTGCTTTGCAGAGTGAAAACGTCTAGGGTTTACGGAAAAACTTTCAATTAAATTTCAATTAAATACCCAAGCGAGGAACCATGCGTGACAACTGCTTTCCAACTTGACAACTATCAAGCCAAAATCAACTATCAGGCTTGATAGTTGTCAAGTTGGAAAGCAGTTGTCACGCATGGTTCCTCGCTTGGGTATTTAATTAAAAAACGTCTTTAATTTCATTTATTTCATTCATCCGATTGTCATCAAAAAAAAATTCCCTTACTTCTCCCAACACAAATTTCTATAAGGATAAAGAGATCGAATATTTTACCGATAAAGTCGACTCGCTGATCGCCGATACGGAGATTTTGAGGATCGACTGCTGGACTGCTGGGCTTTTGAATTTTGGATCTAAATTTTGGATTTGACTCTTGACTCCCTATTTCTATTTCATTTGATTTGCTTATTTTGTTCGTCTGAATAAAGCAGATATAAAGCATTATTTCATTTATTTATTTCATATTGTTTTTGGTTAAATAAATGACGTCCGACGTTTTTAATAAAATATAAATTCATCTTTATTTATTTTTGTCTAAATCTTCTTTTATCTAACGACACCGATTCGATTTGTGCTTCGAAAGTGAAGATCGCTATCAAAGATGGAGTTTTTAAGCCTTATCACACTCGCATTTTCTTCTAAAAAGTCTGTTTTCAAACTTTTAGAGCCTACTGTGTAGATCACACAATCACCCCATCCAATCTGATTGTACTTAGTTTCATTCAATAGGAAATTCAATTTTCTAGCACTTCTTCAGACTCAAAACGAGTGCCGCTTTTTTTTTGAAAAAGCCAAATTCAAAATCCAACTCGACAACAGCGAAAAGTTTTTTTAAAGACTTTATTTAAGACTGTGCTTAGATACCGAATAAACACAAAACAAAAACAGAATTTTAAGATTGAAAAAGTCCCCTAAACTTATTGAAACTCAAGAAAATTTTTCAATTTTGTACCAGATCTTGAAAAATCTGGTGTTCTCTTATCGCCCAGACGTCCCATTCCAATTCGCGGGGGTTTTCGGTGATGAATCACTTCGACACATGCACACTAAAACTTTGAGATTTCCATTGAAACCTTATCAGTGACAAATAAAAGATCAAAAGCATAGGCAGAGGAAAGAAACGTTCGTCTTTCCACCATGCTTTTGTTAGTGTTTTTTACTTTAATCTATAGAGGTTTGCTTTTAAAACTTATCCTAGGTGTATTCATCAAAAGAATAACGAAAAAAAGGTGATATCTATTAAACTACCGTATTCTCTCTAATAGTAGTGCGCACTACTATTTTTTCAACCCCCTCCTGGACCGCAATACTATTAGAGAGTGCACTACTATTAAAGAGTTTTATCATTTACCAAAGTAAGACTCGTTTCTTTGTTCCAATATAAGATTTGTTCCAAAAATTCTTGCAAAAAAAGTAACTTTCTAAAAATTTATTGGCTTCTGATAACAAAAAGTTAACTAAACAAAAAAATCGACAACAGAATCATCATCCTTATCCAGTTCAATATTTTTGCGTTGATCCTTTACTCCGTTGATCGATTGTTCGAGACGAGCATTGGCGAGAAGTGTTGCGCCTGCAGGAATCGGTCCTTCTTTTTTGAAGCAATGAATGAGACCAATTCCTCATCACCTTTCCACATTAACTTGGCTCGGAATTGAATCATTTTTCACTCGCATCTTCTTTGCCCGCATTTCTTGAATCCAAGTAACAAGATCCTTGTCAAAATCGAAATCCTTGAGCTTTCGTCCACCGCCTTTGATTCGTTTTTTCCTTTTCCGTTATCTCTGTTTTGTTTCTCGAGTTCTTCCTTTTGCTGACACCATTTTTGGATGTTTTGACGACTGACTCCAAATTTTCGCGTTGCAGCCGACTTATTCTTTATTTTTTCAGCAAAATCGATCGCTTTCAGCTTTGTTTGAACGTCGAAACATCGTCGCTTTTTCGCGGATGGTGCATCCGATTCACACGAAGATTCCTCGGCAACATCATTGGCCAT